TTTTTTTTTTTTTTTTTTTTTTTTTCCCTTGCTAATCTGCTATATCATTTCACCTCCGTCTTCACATGAGCCTTCAGCAGTCGATTTTTGTCCTCGTGATTCCAAACAAGAACGAGACCGAAGCCAGAGAGCGACATCACCACCACCTGCGAAGACAATAACAATCGAAAGGAAAAAAAAAAAAAAAAAAAAAAAAAAAAAAGTGTTTATTTTAGTAAAGTTGTAAAAGTTAGTAAACCAAATAAAATAAAATGAAAGAATCATTAAAAAAAAAAAAAGGGCAACAAACTTCACGTATCATCATTGAACTGACCGGCCCCAGTTAATTCAGAATGATTTTAATCATTTTATTGAAATTTATTCCTGGTTATCTGATTGTATCTGGATTCGAATGTGGGTCTGACTCATATTTCAACAGTTCGTGGGTGTACCAACTCAGCTACCGTAGGCCCGTTGGTATACGGATTTTACACTTTGACACCGGAAACGAAAAGAAAAACAACTAAAAAAACAAAAAAAAAGTTAAAAAACTTAATGAAAGTGCAAAACTGGTGTTCTCGATCGCCGCCAAAATCGTTCCCAGATTGTATAATAAATATTAAATACTCCTTTTTGTATTGGGGGCGGGGGGGGGAAGTCCACACACGCACACATATGGCTGAGTGGGCGTGTAGTGTGGGTTTTATGGCTGTGACCGATCAGTTTCTCAGACTTACGGCCGTTTTTGTCAGAAGAATCGTGAGTCAATGTCCGAGCCCAATCGGGCAACACCAACAGCATAACCCAATGTAGCTCTCCCTCTTGAATGGCGCCAAGCGCCCTATCTACTCTACAGCCTAACACTACAACTACAGCATGGAAGCAACCAGACAACTTGACGACCAGCGAGTGATGACATCAACACCAATGCCGACCTCCTCTCCACCAGGTATGTCTCTCTCTTCTCCCTCACTCTCCCTTGTTATCCCACACAGYGCCCTTCACTTCCCGAAGAACCACCTTCGCCCTCACCTCCCTCTGCGCCCACAGGCAGCCYRGCTATGGCCGCCAGCGCCCTGYGCCCAGGCTGCRCCCTACCGCTTAGCGCCAGCCTGCCTTCACCTCAGCCTAGCGCAGCGCAGCACCTCGCAGTGCTTCAGCGTGCCGGCATTGCTCGCAATGGCCAAGATCCCTGCCCAGCTGCATGCTCTGCCTGTATCCCAAGCAGTGCGAGGGCGGCCTCCTTTCAGCCTGTGCCCGGGTCCCGGTAGCTGTGCCCAGACCCCATGCAGATAAGGGCCCAGGCCGTACAGTTGTGCCTCTTTCATCAAGGCCTTCGTCCAGATTCAGATAGCGGGCCCGTTTCCCACTGGCATTTTCGGCCTCTATATCCAACATGCAATGTCGGCCTCACGTTTATGTGCCCAGGGCCTAACCAATTCTGAGGCCCTGGTCCTACTGCATTTGCAGGGATCTGGTACTCGGTGCACTCCAACCAACTGGCGTACGGCAACTGTCTGGACCCCACTTCGTGAAATGTCGCAAAAAGGCCTCTCGTTGATTTGCTGGCCCGCGTTCACTTAGGGCGGGCACTAGCCTTGCTGGGGGCCTTGGCCCAGAACATGTACATCATGGCAAGGCCCCTTTTGAGGGCTCAATCCTCACATTCCATCCCCCTTAGCTTCGAAAGTCCGCTGAGGTGCTTACTTCGCAGGTGCCTTCCCCTTTAGTTGTCTTTCATATTCAGCGACCACCTGAGGAGCTGTTTCAACCAGTTCCTCTCTGGTGAACCACCGATCTTCTTTCGGATCTGTGTGATGCCTGAATCTGACTCTGTATTCTCTTCTGGGTTTAGGAGGTCTTCCTCGGCCCAGTGGTCTTGGAACAGGCATGTCCCTGTGTTCCAGAATGTTGTCGATGTCCACGTGGCCATCCATGGTTGGGGGCAGCATCGATCTCCTTGAAGGGAATTGATCTGTCTCAGCGAAAGGTGCAAGCTTTGAGGCATGAAAAACAGGGTGAGTGCGTAGGTGTCCAGGGATTCGGATAACGTAGGAGGGACCATCCAAATCAGTACCTACTACATCCAGCACTTCCCAAGGACCGAAATACTGTGGCATTAGTTTTCTAGAGATGCCGAACTCCTGTCCTAGCTCACTAGCCTTTACCAAGACACGTTCCCCTACCTGAAATGTGGACTGTCGACGATGTTTGTTCTCAGAAGCAATCATTGCTTCCGGAGATTTCTTGATGTGCTCAACAGCTTGTTGTAGCAACTTCTCATACTGCACACCATACTCAAGTGTGCCCAGAGTTGCACAGGGTCGGTTTTCAAGCACGAGGAAGTCCAGAGGTGATCTAGGCTTCCATCCCAAGTGCAGCTGATTAGGACTAACGCCGGTACTGCTGTGGACAGCGTTGTTGTACAGGCTGGCGATGAGAGGCAACTTCTCATCCCAGTCATCCTGGCTGGGCTTGATCTAATGCCTCAGCAGGTGTTGTACAACTCTGTTCATCTGCTCGGCCTGTCAGTTTGCTTCGGGATGATTCCCTGAAGTCATCTGAAGTTGACTGCCCATCTGCTCAGCAGTCTTCTTCCACAGCTCACTTGTGAAACGGACATCTCTGTCACTAACGATTGATTTTGGTAGTCCAAAATCACCCACCCAGTTGTCCATAAACAACTTGATGACGTGTTCAGTCCTTGCGGTCTCTGGCATGGCAATTAGTCTAGCGTACTTGGTGAATCGGTCTATCATAACAAAGATGTGTCTCTTGCCACTCCTACTGGTCACCAGGGTGTCCATGAAATCCATGGAAACACTCTGTCCCGAACCAGCGGGGATAGGTAAGGGCTTCAGCAACCCAAGCGGTGCTTGAGTTCGCGGCTTGTCCCGCTGACAGACCTGACAGGTCTCCACATACTTCTTTGCATCTTCTAGCATCCCGGGCCACCAAAATCGCTGTACAAGATTGACACTCGTCTTTTTGTAGCCAAAGTGCCCGGTTGCGTCATGACATTCTCCTAAGAATAAACTACGCAAACGTTCACTAGATGGAATCACTAATCTCTTAAACCCGGCCTTGTCAAGAAAGAGTAGCCCATCCACCATCACAAACTCATCTTCTACGGCCTTATCTCTCGCCTGACGTTTGCGTATGATGTCCATCGTGACAGGGTCTTCCTGATAGACTCCCACTAGCGATTGAGTTAATTCCTCAGATAAACCAAACTCAGAAACTAGCGCCCCTAGGTAGTCTGCCCTTCGTGACAGCACATCTGCAACCTTGTTGTACTCCCCCTTCAGATACTCTTGCTTGAAGTCATACTGATCTATGACCTCAATCCAACGCTTGAGTGCATCAGAAAGAGCCGGTTGAGTCTTGATCCATTTAAGGGTCTGATGGTCAGTTCTCAAATAGAAAAACCGCCCCAACAGAAAGTGCCTCCAATGGACAAGTGCCTTGTAGAGAGCATAGAGTTCCCTTTCGTAGGTGGACTTTGCCAGTTTCTTTGACGGCATTTTCTTGCTCATGTACTCAATCGGTCTCAACTTTTTCCCATCCTGCTGAGCCAGCACTGTGCCAATGTCGTATTGGCTTGCGTCAGTGGTTACAATGAAAGGCTTCTGAGGATCGGGTACCATGAGAACCTCATGATTCATGAGTGCATGCTTCAATCGTTTGAAAGCAGCCTCGCAGTCATCACTCCAGTCCCACGGCGTGTCAAGTCGAGTTAGATCAGCCAAAGGAGAGGCGACTGTGGAATAATTCTTCACAAAGTTCCTATAGTAGTCGCACATCCCTAAGAAAGATCTGACCTCAGTAACAGTCTGAGGTCGTGGCCAGTCCCTTATACTAGCCACTTTCGCATCTTCCGGCCTAATTCCTTCCACGGATTCCTCATGACCCAAGTACAAGATCCTAGTGCGTCCAAACTCACATTTCTCTAGGTTGACCTTATACTTGTGTTGTCGCAGGAGTGATAGTACAGTCTCTACGTGTTTTACATGCTCCTCAACAGACTTACTAAAGATGAGAATATCGTCAAGGTACACGACGACAAACTTATCTAAGTAGTCATGGAAGATCCTATTCATGGCGTGTTGGAATGTACCCGGCGCATTGCAAAGGCCAAAGGGCATCACCACAAACTCGTACAGACCGTATCTGATCTGAAATGCAGTTTTCTGTTGATCCTCATGTCTTATAGCAATCAGATGGTAGCCAGACTTTCACCCTATCTTGTTGTAGTACTTACATCCCTGCACCCTATCCAATTGGCCCTGCACCCTATGCGAGGTAGAGGCTCTGCGTTTTTCACAATGATGGCATTGAGGCCTCTGTAATCAATGCACATCCTCAATGTTCCTCCCTTCTTCGGTACAAATAGCACTGGAGATCCGAAGGGGGAAGTACTTGGCCGTATCCAACCCTTCTTTGTAAGCTCTTTTAATTGTCGCCGAAGCTCGTCCAACTCGGTCGGAGCCATCCTATAGATCCTTCCCTTTGGGGTTTTACTCCCTGGAATGATTTTTATGGCATGAACAATCTCCCTTTCTACGACTCTTGTAGGCTCCTCAAACAGATCAGGGAACTTAGCAACGATGTGTTCTATCTCTGGGGGTGTTTTAACGGCCTCCCCTTTCTCAAAGACATACACTAGGTACATACCCTCCTCTTGGTTCTGTTTATAATAATTGTAGAACGTTGCAGCCATAGGATTCTATTAAGCTACTAGCCTTATACTTGGCCAGTCTCACGGTCCTTCCATCCTGCAACTTATGCTTTAACACCTTCTTGTCCCAGTCAAACTGGGGCTTGGCAACCTCAAGGTAGTACATTCCTAATAGCATATCAAATGGTAAGTCGTCGCTAACTAGGAACGAAATCTTGTGATTAAGTTCCCCTCCTCCATAGGAGAAGGTACATACTACATCCTTGATATAGTATGTGTGACAACCATTCGCTCCTTATTGGCCAAAGTAGATGCTATCGGTCTACTAAGGTGTTGTACCCGATCCTTTAGGTGCAGCCTTTCCAAACTGTCGCGACTTATGTAATTTCGCGTGGAGCCGATGTTTACGAAGGCACCACATTAGCGGCCTCCTACAGCAACTTCCACGACGAAATGCTCCCCTCTAGGACCTCTACTTAGTGCCACCCAGGATTCGCGAGGGTCCTTGCTCGACCACTCACTTTCTAAATCTTCTAAGGCCTCAGACACATCCAACGTACAGAGCATTGTTTGGTCTAGATGAGTCTGCAGGGTGACTAAAGAGTCATTAGCTATGGCCATCTCATGAAGTGGGGAGGGTATCTCGCCCACTTCACCATGAGTAGAAGCAGCTAAAACTTTCACCGGCCTCACGTGTTTACCGAGCTGGAAGCCTGGGAAGAAGGCACCCCTCCCTTAGGGGGTATCTTCTGCGTGACCTTTGCGTTCTTGCACTTGTACTGGGTGTGTCCGTATTCACCACAGCTTATGCAAGCACCACGCACTTGGCGGTCTCGCCACACTTCCTGATCAAGACCTGCCTTGACCCAATCAGCAACTTTGGCCTGATTGGAGGCAGCCTGCCCTTGACTCTTTTGATGGCCCTTTCCTCGACCACCTGCCTTAGTCTTTACTACTGCGGCGAGTGTGCTACCCTCAGCGGTTTCCTCGCCGTCATACTTTGTACTGTCCATCAGGTCAGAAAGCTCATCGATTTCGGTTTGGGTTCCATCAGACTCAACCATCATCAATCGACTCCCCTTCTTCTTCCACTCCTGTGGACTCTTCTTCTTCCTCCCGTCTACTGGAGTAGGTTGGGCACTTCCTAGAGTAGACTCCAAATCTAAGGCCTTTCTAGAGAAGGTCTCAAACGAATGATACTCGAGGCGAGCCTCGCTGGCCAGTAAGGTCCTGAGATTCTCGGGCAGACATCTCAGAAACATGATCAATAAGACCTGGTCATCATAGCGTATACCGGGTACGACAATAAGGTTATCTACGGTAGACGTTAGCTCTCTGACTGACTTGTACTTTCGCTGGTTCAGTCTCAACATCGCGTCAGTGGCAATTTGTGCCTGCTGCGGATTGTGCCAGCGAGCATCTACCATATCCAAAAACTCTTCTAATGTAAGGGTTTTACCCCAATCTGCCATGCATCGTCCGTACCCGGCCTTCACTACTATACCATCCAGCCATTTGGCTGCCTTACCCTCAAGGTAAGATGCAGCAGTAATCACCTCCTCCTCCTGCAAAGTCCTCTTTGCCCTTACCCACATTGGAACTGTTCTCAACCATGTGTTGAGTTCCTCGTCCTTCTTCTCATCGGACAAGGCAAGGGGCGGTTTCATTGGGGTCTTTGGGTACCATTGACCTTGCTGCTGTCCCTGTGGTGGAACAGTTTGTTGCGGTGATGGTGTAGCTATCACCACTGGACCAGAAGAAAAAGAAGTAACAGTTTGTGCGGCTGCTGCAGACATACCACTTGGCTGTGTGCCAGCTTGTACCGGAAAGGGGCCTAACATCGCCGTTACCGGCAACGACGACTGTGCTGCTGGCCGTGATCCTGGCCTTTGCAAAAGGTCCAAGATTTGGTCCAAGGAGTTCTGCATGAAGTCCATCCTATTGTCCACGTGCGCATGCAGCGACAGTACGCTGGCCTTCAACACTTTCATCTGATCAGTCATGGCTGACTCATCCAAACCCTCTAATGCAGCTTTGTCTGCCTCTAACGTATCAAGCCTGGCTGTTCTATTTTTTATTTCCTTTTCTCTATCGGTAGCTTGCTTCAGTTCCCTCTCTAGCCGAGCGCGGATCCTTTCGACTTGTTGGAGCTCTAGTAGCTCTCTGCCGCGTGGGGTCAACGGACTGAACTGCGAGCCCGCCATTTGACTTGTGGGACTGACTAAACCCTACCGATCCGGAAGTACCCGTGGGTCCTGAGGGCATTCCCAACAGGGTCCCAGACGAGGATGCAGCAGAGGATGCTGCTGCGGTAGCCATTGCTGTTGCCCTGGCTGCTGCTGCTGCCTGTTCCCTAGTTGCGGCGTTTGCTGCTGCCAACGCCTGACTTGCAGCTAGCGCTGTATCCCTGGCTGCTGCGAGAGAACGGGCTCTAACTTCGGCGCGAAGTCGTCTCTCATCTCCCGGCTGTAGGGCCTGAAACACGCGCGGGACCCTTAGTGATCTCGAACGTGTCAGCCTTGCATTGTCAACTCTACCCTCATCGGTGTCTGACCCACTCATCAGCTAGGCAAACACTATCTGCACTACAACTCCCCGCTGGAGTCCTACCACAACATGTGTCTGACGGCAAAAATAAAAGTGTCCGGCTGGTCCCCTACTCACCCGATCAAGTGGCAGCCTACAACATTCACAAAAGATCGTAAACATAATTCAGCTATATCATGATTAGTTCACTTACAAAAGTTTTGCATAGAACTGGCTATGGTAGTATACAACAGTCCTACACTAAACTGTCTGTGAGGTGTTAGCAGTCTGTCAACCAACTAATCAACAATAAAACTAAACTATGTTGCAGATGTATGAACAGTGGATATGGTTGTGTTTACAGTTGAGCACCAAATGGGAACCTACCCTCCCCTCAATCCAACATACCGATGAGCATCATTGAGCAGCAGTGTCATAGGTGTGCAATGTCGGCTCACCCCTGTGCCCCAGGTGCATGCTTACGACCAGGCTTGCCCTTTCTTTATCCTCGCGTGCAACGAGCCGTACGTCTGACTGATCTGGCTGATCAAGAGGCCTATTTAAGGAGTGCCCCCAAGGTCACTCAGGAATTATTTAACGTCGCAATCAGGACGACGATCACAACCAATGGACAGATCGAAACCCCATCCAGAAATGTTTATAGACGGTCTGGGAGCGTCTGCACAAGCCTGTTCAGTCCGCACACCCCTCTATCAGCGCAGCAAAAGTGCCCTCATGGACAAAGCAGCCATCGCATGCGTGTACTAATCCCATTGGGTTGGCATGGTGACCGTAACCCA